GTCACTCATATTTTTATGAGTTGGCTGTAAACAAGTTATACACACCTTTAGCTGGTCCAGTTTTTCTCTGATCTGAATGAAGCCGAGGTGAAGCTTCCCGCCAAAATGGTCAGCCAAACGACGGTCGTTGTCATGGAGACCAAGGTAAGCAGAGCACACCTCACACACCCGAAGCTTCTGCTGCTGAAAGCTTGAGGCTGGCATGGAGTTTCTGTATTCTTCCTGAAATGGTTCAAGAGGGAATAAAAGAGGCAGCGAGGTGTCAGAAGTTCAGAGAATTAAGAGACGGAAAGCACCACAAGCTCGAAGTTCTAAGAGCTCACTCCTTACCTCTGCATCCTTCTTCTTCGTGCGGACCTTCTCCACCTCTTGCAGGACTTTCTGAGCCTCATCCACATTGCCCTCAGCTCCGAGCTGTTCAGCCTTGGCCAGGAGCTTTCCTATTTCCTCATTTAGCTCATGCACCTTCTCTGCCTACAAAACAGCCACACCAACACAAGAGACAACAGGTTATGTTGAGCGAAAAAACACACTGACAGGGTTCACTGGATGTTGCATAAGGAAAGCCAGACTTTATCAAGCATAAAAACGTTGCATCATTCACCTTTGCTGCCACCTCTGCACTGATCTCTTCTTGGGTCTCAGCCAGGCGCTTCTTGGCCAGTTCTGTCCTCCGATCACAGTCCACAATAAAAGACTCTAGGTGATCCACTGCCTGTAGGAGCAACACCTTTTATTAACACACTCAGCAGTCACTACTTGGCAAGTGCAAATGTTTTGATTTGCACTTGCATCATTTCAAAAACGCTTTTGGCATGAATGGTGCTGACTTGCAAGACAGATAGACACTTTATTCATTCACAAGGGAAATTATTGTGTTACAGCAGCACGATAAAGAATACAAGTAGTACTCTTTAACTATGTTTATTGTAAAGTAAAAGTGCCACAAGCGCACACCTAGGGCCTTAAACCGTGAGAAAAAGCAATTTTTTTAAATATGCACAACATTGATAAAAAAAACCCAAAGAAAACATAAAAATGAGTTAAAGAAAAGTGAAAAGTCTAAGATTGTGCAACTTGCATTAATAAATAATATGCACACAATAAATCAGGGAAACAGCTGCAAGAAGGTATAAAAAAAAAAAAAAAAGACTTCCTGAAGCATTCTTTTTGAAAGCGGGGTTAAATTATTTTAAGGGAGGAGTTCTGCTGCCTCGTTAGTGTGGAGTGGAGCGTGTGAAATGGGCCATGATGGAGAGCAGTTTGTTCAGTCACGTCCTGTCCCTCACTCACTCCAGATTATTATTAATTAATAATATTATTAATATATTGTTAGTAAAAGGAACCTCACTTACATCAAGCTCAAAGAAAAGATCTCTCTCCTTGGAGGCAATTTCATAATCAGCCCGAAGTGCCAGGTCATGGATCTTAGTGCACTCCCCCAGGTCCATGCGCTATCACCAAAAAAAACAGACAGACATGAGTTATGCTGCATAAACTCAAACATAAACAAATGATAATGTTAAAAAAATGACTGCAAAAGTTAAAGACACTTATAGCACTTTTTTTTTCCCCCTTTCTGAAATTTCTTTCCAACCTCTTAGAAATGAACTGAGTTTTTAAAGCTTTCAGGATGGGTCAGAACTGAAGTTTGTCTCACTTACAGTTCCAGAGAGGATGTCATGTGGGCAGCAGTTGAGAAGGTGACTTTTGCAGACTCGTTCGTCAGTGAACTTGACCCTCTGCCGCGTCTCATCCCCTGAAACAGCCCAAAAGAAGAACCAGTGAGACAGCCCTCACATACTCGATAACAGTGGCGAGGTATCCAGTGCTTCAATACATATTAATGTAATTGTACTACATACCACAGTCCATTTAAATACTTTGTACCTATCCAAATGAGTAAAAGCTATTTGTATATTGCTGCTTGTCAGGGTTTTCATTGTACTTTATTAATGTAACATTACAGGTATCCATTAGTAGAGTAAATGTGCCTCTACTGGACTATACTAATGTATTAATGCAGTAATAAAGGTTGCTTTGTATGTGTGTGTTACTTTGTGCTTATTCTTAGTGCTTACCTTACCCAAGCCTCAAACGGGTTATTATCAGAGCCTCAACTCAGTTAACTTTTTATAAGGCTCAACGCCCACTCTATAATGAGGGTCAAAGGATTGGGCTGGGAGCGGTGTAACATAACATTATAATAATACAATTTAGGTTTCAGTTAAGTCGTGTCAAGTACAGCTGCTACCTTAATGCTGTATCATTTTCATTAGAAAATGGAAGATGGCCACTACGACTATAAATAGATTTAAAATTTTAAAATCAAATGTTCCAGCCAAGCCTTTATTTATAACTGTGAACATTCAAAGGAAATTCAAAACAAGGATGCAAAAGAAATCCAAGGAAAAAAATTTAGGTTATACACACTGCGACTTGCACCACATACTGTACCCTTCTGCATCTTCAAGACCTCAGCTGCAGAATTTTAAACCCGCTGTAGAAAAGTATAAATGGGAACAGTTTTCTCGCGCACACCTGTAGTAAGAAGTTGGGAGTCATACACAAGTCAGATTGTAAATGCTGTGTGCAAAGTTTTTTTTTTTGTGTGTGTGTGTGTGGACTGACTGCTAAAATTGCCTTCTGAAAACAGACGTGTAATGGAAAACTGCTCGTTTGGACTCAGCGCGACCAGACGTCTTAGCTCAAGCTGTGTGATACTACTTCAAATAGTAATACTAGTGCCACTGAAGATTTACCCATTTGTGTGATTTTTTTTTTAAGAAAAAAAAAAGAAAAAGGCTACAATAACTTCCGGAAGGCAAACAAATTGTTTGGATATTCACCATAACAGCTTTAAAAATTATGTGTGACTCACGGCTCGATGAACATGAGGCTTTTCTGCAACTCCTTTGCAGATTGATGTAGGCTGGCAAAGATACACTGAACCTTAATGAATAAAATAAAGGGGCCACAATTGTTCAGTCTGTATGCAACAAAAGTATGGGAAGAATTTGATATCATATCTCATCACACATACACCCACAAGCTCACCACACAAATTCACTCTTACTCTAAAGCTCAACTTGTTAAAAAAAATGAGAAAAAAAAAGGCTCAGAGCTTCAAATTTTACACAACCAGCTGTCAGAATAAAATATTTATAAAACGGCAGGGCTGCAAGAAACTGCAGTCAGACCTGACAGCTGATATATTTACACACACATACATACATTTAAATTATGCTTCTTCAAGCGTGTATTATACATGTTTTTCTAACATTGCACAGCACCGATGTTACAGGTTATGCTGCATCTATTTATTCTATTCTAATCTGCTGCTGTAATAATGTATTACACTTCCAATTAATCCCAACTATGGGGCTAAATCGAGTTATATTATTTGCCAATTAATGTTTGTATCCAAACGGCTGGAAGCTACTAAAAAAGAAAACAGTTCATTTAGGACGTCTGTCCACTCATAACTGCGATAATCAAAATTAACGAGCACAGTATTGCACTCCGTTTCTTTTTAAATAAAATCTAATCTCGAGTTAATCTCGAAAGTGTTTTATTATCGAGTATATGTGCTAAATTATTTTGTTCCTTTAGAAAAGTGTTTCATTTTGTTTTTAGAACTCCTGCAAGACCGACTGCAAAGTAAGGTCAGTTTATCGTTTAACCCTTGTTTGGTGTGAGATTACGCTTTATTTAATCAATACAGCCATGACGACTAATGCAAAGATACTTGATCTCAAATCCAAGCAGTACTGACATACATGGAAAACACCTGTAAGAGCACAGTAATGAAGAAACGTGATACTGGTTTTAGTGACAAAATGTAATGAAGAAAAATCTATCAGAAAATATGGGTGGAAAAACATTTTTATCCGAAAATATATTATCCAAGATATACACGGGGCAAGCTTCCATTGTTACGTTATTGTAAGCAAGGAAGGAAGGAAGAATATTTTTTCTCTTTCTAAACACTGAAAACCTTGAACACCGCACAAGGGTTAAAATTATGCCAATTAAACTATATAAATGGATACAGAAGATATCTGGTTTACCATTAACTAAACATTAATTAACGCCAGGAATATATTCTTGTACACTGTCCAATGCATCCTAGCTTGGCGCCTCACAGTCCACAACAAGTAGCTACGTTTAGCCAACGCACATTACAAGCTAGGAATTTAGTAAAACCTAGAAGTAATAAAAGGGAAACTACAACCTATTAAACTGCAATGAGCCACGTTGGATGCAAACATTAAATCCTCTCATTAATCCTTAACAGGCTGCCTGAATATAACGTTACTTTGTCCCACAGCCCTCTGCAGTACATCCATTCATGCAGCTCTGTCCATCACACGCCAACACAAGCCAGCCTCAGCAGTGGCTCCATCTTGGCTAGCTAGCTCGGCTAGCATGCTACAGCAACTCACCGTCCCTCGCTGTTCCCATCAGCTGGTCGAGCAAAGCTCTCATTTGAGCTTGGGCAGACATTACTGCGGTTCTTCCGTCGACAGGGTTAGATAAAAGTCAATCAACTTGAAAACGGTTCCTCTGTTTTATCGGCTTATTTGAGAATTTGTTTATCCAAGCATCTCCTTTTGCTGCTTCTCCCTCTATTTCTTCAACTCGCCCGTTTCCATCCAATTTCCGGGAAATGACGAAACTATTCTGTAGCCTCGCTAAACCAGGAAGTCCCCAGATTCCGTCTAAATGTGCCAATCGAAACGGCCAAGTACGCGTACAACAACCAATCACAAGACGTTTACTGATAGACCCTGAGCTATGACTTTCAGGCAACGGCTATTCGCCATAGGCATTCATCATGTTGAAGCACATCTTGCTACAAGCAATACCCAAATTTAGGTAAATTAATCTTAATGTTAAGGTTCATGTTGTTTCGGAGGTTTCAATATTATTTGAATGTGTACATTTTCAATGTGTAGCGCTACCTGTCAGACAAATTCGGGGTATGCGAACCTGTTTAGGACGGTGGGCTTGCCTGTGATTTGTTTACGCAACTGGGATTGACAGGCAGTTTTGTTAGCCTGTGTCAGGCCTGCTATCTAAAGTTAGCCGCACCAAAGAACGCAGGAGTCGGCGGTGCAGAGTTAAAGTAAGAAAAACCTTATCTGTATCTGCTTAAACTATTGAATTAACCTCAAATCGAGGGCCGCTTTCTGTGGTAATATTACACATAGTCCCTTTTTTCGGGGTTGGCCTTCGTTCAACAAGTTAGCAAACTAATCCACCCAGGTGTTGAGGGTAAACTTTTTTAAATACCTAATCTCGTTAATATAGATAGCTATCCGGAACTGACTAAGGCGAAGAAAAGACTTTCACGGCACGGTCTCGGGGCGTAAAATAATTTTGTGCGAGCCTGTTTGTAATATACATAAGGAAGTTTGTAGCACACGCCCTTATCTTTCTTTTTTTACGTGTGAGTAATAAGCCTGTTGCTGCAGAACAAATAATATGGTGTGCAATCCTGAGCGATGTTTATTATGGGTCTGCTCTTTTTGTGCTGAGAAGCGTCTGGATCTGTGCTGGCACATCTGAATAAGCAGAGATTCACAAAGGTTGATACAGCAGAAATAGCTGGACTGCTAGACCCTGCTGCCTCCAGTATTATTTCCCACAGAGTGTATCTGTGAATGCCAGCGAGTTTTGTATGGTTACTTTGACACATGCAGGTTTATAATCCGCTCCACACTGGAACTGTATATGACAATTTGTATTTGCAGTGGTATGTATTTACGTAAGTGTTTACCATAATCTCTTTTCTCCTTTTAGGCAGGTCAGTGGGCCAGTAATGCATTAAGGCAGTGATGGAGACCACAGACCAAGCCACTGAGGGCGACCCTCTGAAGACAGGAGAAGATGGTGCAGAGGCAGGAACAGTACCATCAGCAACAGAGCTGAAGAGAAAGAGCTGCAAGGAGTTGGGTTTTTCCAAACTGTCTCATTGGCGAACTGCAGTCTTTTTCTTGTCCTTGTTCCTTTGCCTCACCATCGTGTTTGCCTTCTCCTTCATCATCCCCTGTCCCGTGAGGCCACAATATCTTGTTACCTGGAACAGTTCATTCCCTGGAGCAGGTGAGTGCAATTATATGCCTTTCACTGCTTGACAGTGTTATAGTTGCGAGATAATTAGGCACTACTTTCTCTTTTCTTCACCACAGCAACCTACAACTTCTTAGCTTTTGAACATGCAAATGAAGACAAGGTGATGGATGTCCTGTTTATTCTCAAAACCACAGAAGTGACACAGAACAGATCATGTGCTGATGAAGGTAGAGACTGATCCTCTGTTTATGAGAATACAATACACCCATTGTGTGTTATGTATGTTTAGAAAAACTGTGGGTTTTCCAGCTCTATCCTCACCATGCGTGTTTCTGTTGGCACTGGATGGCACACATGGAGAGAACCTGTGGGACTATCCGCTGGAACCCGACTTCCACTGGGCCCAGTGTGGCCTCGAAAGAGAAACGGGCAGAACCTGGGACTGTCTGCTGTCCCATTCTGACAAACTCACAGCCATCGACAAACGTACAGGTTAGTGAAAAAACAAACTCAATGCAAGTAGTGGCAAATCAAATCCTTTATTTAATTAAGAGGAAGAGAAATGGGGATTTTACTGGCTAAGAAAAAAATTGTACCCATTTCCAATTTGTTAGCGGCAACAAATTACTGACATACCATTTAATGTAGTGTTCCTGAAGTCTAGTTAAAGAAAGGAAGTAAAGCAATTTTAACTCCTAAAGATCCGTTTTAGGTCAAGAAAGATGTCTTTTGTAACCTGCGTTGTTACTGTGCGGTGTGGTTGTCTCAGGTACGAAAATCTGGCAACAGTCTCAGCCTACTGGGCTGCGCAGCTCTGCGCCCGTTCTCAGTGTCCCAGATCTGGATGGGGACAAAGTTGGTGATGTGGCTCTGGTGGCATCTGATAACACACAGGTAAAGGTGAAGTTAAGAGTTATATTATTCTGTTTCTTGGTTTTTGGTATATTTTATTATGTTTTTCTCTTGCTGTAACAAGACTCAAATATGGAAATGTTCCCCATTGAAAGTGTTGATATTAATGATAATATTAAAGCAAAAATGGAATCGTCCCAGTCTCAGTGTCTCCTGTCATATCTGCAGACTCAGCTGGTATTGCTCTCAGGGAAGACGGGTGACCAAATCGGCACTACGGTGGTTCTCGATTCCACAGAGACAGCCAGTCATCTTCTGCACCGCACTGAGAAAGGTTCTTACTACGTACTACTGCAAAAAGGTTTGTGTATGAAATCATCCGTGACAGTTACTCTGCAGGCTAACCGGTTGAGCAGGTTCTCAATGATAAGTGTTGCATTTTATCCAAGTACAGTTGCAAAACTCAAACTGTTACAGATTTTTTTTAATGCTTAGTCATAACAAAAGCTGAATAATAACAGCTGCACTGTTATACCTTTTATAGGATCACCTTTAGTCTAGGCTTAAAAGATTATGTGAATCTTTGTCCTGTAACAACTTATTTAAAAGTTGAATAAAGTCATATGTTATGATTAATAACAACTTATGGACCCAAAGAAAATTACCCGCAGGTATTAGATGTCTACAAAGGAGGTGGGTCAAAGAGATTTGGTTAGGGTTCAGGTGTGCATCAAACGCTTCAGTAAAAGAAACGTTATCATAGAGATGTTTGTTAAATATTGATATTACCTGATATTAACCTTGCTGCATTTTTTAACAACAGTTCTTACAGTGAGGCTCATTTACTGTAACATTTCATCTTTACTCACTTTTCAAAAGATTCGTCAGCTTTTAGTTTTCTTCCTGTTGTTGATTCTAGGACAGGAAAGGGAATTATTGAGTGAGTGAGTGTATTTACTCGTAGACACTGGGCTGTATGGCTGGGCACTGTGGAAGATCGCTGCCAAGGCTAAAGCAGGGATGGATATGGGTCTGAAGAAGGACCAACACCTGGAGAGAAATGCCAGTGGCACAGACGGCCTTGTACCCATCTACGAGTAAGAAGGAACTTTGATTATCACTTCTACAAAACCGCCTGTTGTCATGGGGATTTTTACCCTGAGACTTGCTATTTGTTTCTGCTTTATAGGTCTGAAGTGAGTCGAATGCTGAAAACCGATGAAACGGATGATTCATCCAACTTGCTGGTTGTGGCTGGGAAGGAGGTGGCATTGCTTGATGGCAAACATTTGGAGCTACTGTGGAGATTCAACACCAGCTCAGTCCTCAGGTAAACCCACTGTGTATGCTTTAGATTTCATGTGCATAGAATAAGAGGAAAGTGCTTAGTTACACAGCACAGCAGCTTAATTAATACCTCAGTACAGAGTGCTTACAAGGTCGATACCGTTGAGATTGCTGGACAAATTCCATAATGCCATGGATACAGAAAGGGAAGAAAAACAACAAGAGCACTTACCTACATCTTTCCATCTTTCCAACATCTGGCCGAGGCCTATCTGTGTGAAGTTTGCATGTTCTCCCCATGTTTGTGTGGGTACTCTGCCTTCCTCCTACAGTACAAAGACATGCAGTTTGTGGACTTAGGCTCATTGGTGATTATAAACGTGTGAGTGTGGATGCATGGATGGTAAAGCTATATCATTTATAGACCTGGAAAAATAGTCCCTAAATGTACTGTAGACATGTCCATATCCACTAAATAATTTATACATCTCATTAAAATAATATATTTGCTCAGAAGTCAGATTGTGTTAAAACACAACAAAAACCAACAATCTCAAACATTCAGTATTAAATTCTGGTCATTTTTGTGTGTAAACCATTTGTTGTTATTAACTAGGACTCGCTGGGTGGAAAAACAGCCTTTTCTCTTTATTTTTTTCAGTGAACCCTCTTTTGGTCATTTTAACAAAGATGGTTTAATAGATGTTGTCATTGAGGAGGATATTGGCAACAACACAAAGAGGGTAAGTTAAATTAAAAACGTGACAAACAGCTTTATTTCAATGCCTGACTGCTGGCATGAGGTGATCAGTGTGAATCATAGAAAAACTAGACCACTTTGGTTTTAAATGTAGATAATAATCCTGGATGGGAAGACTGGCGGTGTGCTGTGGGAAGTCCAGCTCTTGGCCAGTCCTAATTCCCCGAGACCCGCTTCCATCGACACCACCAACTACTTCTCAGTCTTCATGTTTTGGGGCTTGATGCCCTCAGAGTCAAACTCATCTGTAAGTACACTACCTTTATGAATATGATCATTTTACACGTTTCTCTCAAACAAAACTGCTCCCTGACAGCTGCAATGTTTTCCTTTCAGGAACCAGTAACAAGTGAACGACGCTCTTACATGCTGCATCCTCTCTATTCGAATGCTCTCCTCGAGTCCACTAATGTCGTAGACCACATTATAGCATTTAAAGGTACCTCTTGTTCTAGCAAAGGTATTACTGGTACGATGTATTTCCAGGGTGTATCTGATATCCCCGTGTTGGTGTTTATACCTGGATTATCTTAATTAATGTTGGTCCAGGTTTAACATTGCAAGTGACCAATCACATGTTGATGACATAGTTTTGCACCTTGGAATAAAAAATCCAAGCAACGTGATTGGTCACTTGCGATGTTGAACCTGGACCAACAATAATTATTTTTAAGAAACAACACAAGGAAATCAGATCGAGCAGTGTTGTTTTTTTTTTTTGTTTTTTTTAATTTATTTTTGTTTAACTTATATATTTTCATTGTAGCCACGCTGATGGAGCGTGGGCGCCATGCTGCCTACATCCTGCTGATAGGCCCTAAGGAGGAGGGAGCCGAAAGCACCGTGGTTCTCAGCAAGCGCAAGCTGAAGCAGGACGTTCCCGACAGCAAAGTACTCCGTTTTGGCGACGGGACTACAAAATCTAATGAGGACATTAAAGAGGCCTTCAACCGACTCCGCTTTAGCGATTGGTGAAAAGGCCGGCTGTAACCTGTGCAGTATATCCTCGGTTTTATGCTGACTTAACTTGATTTTCAAAACCAAAGTTGTTGTAAACTAATTGTGACTTTCCAACTGCTGAGCAAAGAAACTCCTTTATCTTTAGAAGACTTTAGGTTGATTTGCTTTGACAGGGATGTTCTCCGGTGGACAAACTGGACACTGTCTATATTCACTCTTCTTCACTGCATATCCTTCATATTGTCAAAACTCTAAACCTGTATAGAATCAGAAAAAAGCTGCTGTTCACTGACAATCACTCTACTCAGACTGCTGTTCTCCTGCTGATAAACCCATCACATCTGCCTTTATGTATTGTTTCTAGCAATTTCATGCATTGGTGCAATGATCGTTAAAAACAGAAGCTGGACTGTTCAGATCTATGCAACTGTATGTCACGCTGTGCTTTAAAGGTAGCAGATGCATGCAACTACAGAGGCTTTTCCTTAGTGTGTCAAATTAAAAATAGCCTAAATAAAATAGATACACAGTTGTAAGGCTGGTTTATGGTATAAACTAAATGTTATGTGTTAAATTTGTAAGGGATCCTGTCTGTGAAAGTATCAATAAGGCACTCTGGCAGTCAACGGTACTGATGTTGACATCGATGACCCTTTACTGTTACTTACTTAATCCAACATGCTGTAAGATGTAATGCTATATAACGCACACTGACAATTTAGTCAATGCTGTATCAAATAAGAGTTATTGTTGTGGTTGAACAGCTCCTTATGAAGCTGTTTTCCCTTGGTAACTTATATTAAGGTTGAAGACGAGGTTCTTATTTTTGCTGAACATGGACATATTGAACCTGTGAAAGAGGCCTTTATTGGAGATGACTTTACTTTCTGACTTGTAATGAAATGTTCGGATTTGAGCTATATTAAAATATTTTTAAAGAAATTGCTTTTGTTTAATCTAAATGAATAAAAACAGGCTGTTTGTCGCCATCTTGTGCACGCACACACAGAGTGCAGTAAAGCGCGGACAGACCGTCGGCATGGATGTATGCAAGGCAGTCACGTATCTCTGGGGCAGTACCGTGCAGTTTACTCCCTAAATACGTACACCGCGTCATTTATTTACCGTGACGCAAGACTGCCGTGGGGCTCCTCCTGAATGCATGTGAGGGGATTGAGAGCCTCTCCTTGTAGGGAAATGCTTGGAATTTTTATGGAAAGCCGCACTTGAGGCAAAATAGGAGAAGGCGCCGAGACTTGGCTGGAAGGGAGTGGACCCGCGTGGACAGCGACCGGAGACGGATAGGCGCGCGGATAGTGCAAGTGCGCTACCTGTAAAGGAGTTACGCGCGGAAATGCAGCTCATGCACTGAAAGTGTAGTTAGTGCTCCTGAGGCACTACACGGTTAACATGTCACTCTGCTTATTATTATCAGGCTAATAGACCTGCCACATAAAAAACGGACTGCTCATCTGTTCCGTGTCTTAGCTCACAGCTGGTAGGTCCTATAAAGTGAGACTGCAGCACCTCCCTACGATTGCAGGCATTTCTTGACAGAGTTCCTGGTTTGGCCAGCTTTACTTCACTTGAAATCCGAAATATAGGAAGCCCACATGAAGGGAAAATTACTTTTTATGGCCATCCAACTCAAACCCATCCAGCTCATATGCTTAAAAACATCATATTAATGATTAACAGAAACACAGAGGAGCCGAAAACTTCCGGCTTCATAGGAGTAAAACCTCGAACAACAAATGAAAGCTAAAATAAACACCTCCCGCTGCGCCCCTGGGCTTTCACCCCTCAGGGCTTTTATTCTCCAAAACACGACATAAAGCAAACATTTGCGTGTAGACAAAGTGTGACTGTGAGAGTCTTGTCATTTCAATGTGACCTGTATCCGCCATTCCCTTATGATAAAACTGCACGGCTCCAATATCTTCAGACCGGAGCGCACGCGTGGAGCGCGCACTGTCTCTCAGAGTAACGACACTCACCGTCCGGTGTAAAGTCACTTGAGCCGAGCCAGCATCTGCGACTAAGGTACCGTTTACGTGCATGCTCTAACCCTCTAAAGTACCGGTTTCTTCTTGCGCAGACCGTCCGCTAGGTATTATTTCTATTTATTCTATTCATTTCTGTGTGTAGTCATCAAAATAACCGCTCGGGAAGTGGCGTGTCAAAAATGGCACCACTAATTCTGGGTATCGATAGGAAGTGTTTTAATCGGTTTTCAGTGGCATTCTTAAAGAAACGAATTACACTGCAGAGAGAAATAGCGAATGTGTTACCAGGTTGTGCGAAAAAGAAAGAGAAACTGGGCTACGTGCGAAGGAAACGCTTTTTGGCCTGGTAACTAAGGCTATTGATTACTGCCAATACCGGCTAATAAGGCGCATTTGACCATTTAGGGCCTTCCCACTTTGTCCTACATATTTAATCACTGCTTATGTTTGACTGTAGTTTGATATTATAGATTGGACGGTGATGAAAGTGCCGCATTTCTAGTAGCAGCCTTCAGGTGCCGCAGACAGCAATCCGCTGCACTTGCCCAAATATGAAATCTTAAGGCGTCACAGATCGTCACCGCCGGCCACTGTTCAATCTCCGCACATAGAAGGCAACCTGCAGATGTTATCCTCACAAGAGGCTGCCACACACAGGCTAATGAGTGGCTGTTTCTTTCCCCTTTTGCACCCATTCATTAGATTCTCCTTCCAGAGGTGAAAATGGCCGAAGACATTAAAGCCAAACTTGAGAAATACCGCACGGCTCCCTTTGACTCCAGATTCCCCAACCAGAACCAGACCAGGAACTGCTGGTCCAACTACGTGGGTAAGACTACACCTCAAGGTCAAAGAGGTGCCTGTTGTTTTCTCCAAATGTGTGAAAGCGACTAGAGGAACTGCCAATTAAAGCAAGACTATGCTGTGCTTTAAAAAGGCAATAACAACCTAGTAAAATTTTGGATTATTACAACATTATTCAGTCATAGTAATCATGATAAAGGCTATCATAGCTCACCTACTGACCCTGACATCTGGCCTGAAGATAGCCCAGTCAGATTTCTTCACAGGGTCTACTGGAAGGTTATTTTTGATATTCACCATTGTTGTTTCTCTATTTATAGACTACTACCGCTGCCAGAAAGCTTTGGATGCCAAGGGATTAGACACCCAGCCCTGCGAGTGGTACAAAAGGGTCTACAAATCGCTGTGCCCCATCTCCTGGGTAAATATAAGAAATATTACCATCTCATTTCTAACAGAAAAGCCACTTTGCTGAAAGCGTATTGGCAGCATGTACATGGTAATTTAATTGGTGGGAAGAGTTTGTTTAGCAGGGGTCAAACAACTTTATGATTCCTCACATTCCTGCTCAGCCCAAACAGTCAAAAATAAGGAAAACATGGAAAACACCGTTTGGAGATTTGCCCCTAATCACACAGCTGACTAAAAATACATCAACATGTTGAGTTACTTTATCAGCCAAAGCGATTCCACTCTCTAAGCTTTGCTTAACATCACAAGTTGTACAAAAATGTAGTTTGAGGATTAACACTCTTACATAGTTCAATCAACTAAAAATAAATATTTTTGTCTCAAAAGTTTTCTTTTTTTCCTCTAAAATTTTCGTCCCTTTAGATCCAGAAATGGGACGAGCAGAGAGAAGATGGGACCTTTGCTGGAAAAATCTGAGGCTTAAGCATTTCGAATGCCGATAGTCTGCAGAGATGTAATCTTTTCAGTAGAATGTTTGTACGAGTGGTATAAAACCTGCGGTGTGCCTTTCCACTAACGCTCTGTCCTGAGATCACACCGAAACTGAATGGTCATTCCTTAAAGATATCATGAAATGTACAGCAGATTCTGCATTAATAAAAAATATCTCAGGATATATTTATGGAACTGGCTTGTCCTGTCTTATTTTGTCTCTTTACTGCATGCTGCTGATCCCCTGTGAGGTTATTCATAGACTCTTTTTTTGGGGTTTAGTTCAGATGTGTGTGAGAAAGAGTCAGGGCAAGGAAGTCTGAACATAAGAGATCAACAGCAAAACCCAAGTGGCCCGCTTATAGAGTTTGATGCAGATCACTCCAGACATCCCCCCCAAAAAAAGCACAACAAGAGGATGAATTTCCAGAAAACTGGAGGTGAACTATTACTTTTTCACATTTTATTCATTCCAATAAACCTACTTCAAATATACATATTTAATCAAGATTAGAAAAATAAATATTTCAAAACACTAAATGTCACGGCTACAATAATGGCCACCACTCCACAGAGCAGAATGGAGATTTGGAGTAATGAGTATCACTGCTGCGGGACATAATGAAATTAAATACATAAAACTGCATTTCATATACAATGACTCCCAGCTATAAGGAGTGTAGAATAGTTTATACTGGGGCTCAATGATGCAGTAAAAACACCTAAAAAAAAAAATTTATGCTGAGGAGTTTTTCCCATGCAACAAGTTAGTACAGTGAACACTGAGCGGGAAAAAAAGTACAGCACAGACTACCAAGTATTTTAGTGAACACAGATTCCTATTTATCCCCTTTTAAACAACTGCTCTTCTTAATTTGAGGTAAGTTTATAATATTTGCATATTAGAAGTTGCCTGTTATCTACTCAAACGCTAAAAGTGGAAAATTGCTTCTATTTTTTAACCGAATTAAAAAGACTGCTGTGGAAATGTTTGCTGGAAAAAAAAAGTCAAACAATCTAGTGCATGTGCATAGCAACTTCAATAAAGGTCACTTGGATTGCAAACGAGCTTTTTCTACTTGATGCGAAGCAGAAAAAACAAACTGACCTAATTGTGTGAAGCCAAATAGATATTTGTTAGTATTAATGTGAAGCTTTGAGCGGCTTCAATCCTCAATGTTCCTCGACTTCGTCTATCGCATTAGTCGTTAATGTGAATCTTGCAAATGTAAAAACCTCTCTGAAAGTACTTCCACAAGTAAAACCACTCACTTTTGAAATATATTATCCAAGAGATATAAATATTAATAGATATAAATTAGTGGCTGCATAGCATTAGGCTTGGTTTGTGCACTGGTGGGAGTGTTTTCATACCCATTAGGCCGAGAGCTAAATGACTAGGCTCGTTGGTGAATCATGTTAATTAATTAACGTAGCGTCCTGATGTGACAGTGTATTCATGTGGCCTTTGAGCTTTTTTTTTTTCTTTTCCTGGATTATGTATACGCCAGAAGCAGCATTGGGATATGCAGCACAAGTCACAAGTCACAAGTAGCAGCCACAGATTATAGTGTTGGTACTAGGCACAATAATATGGCTGATAAAATGCAGCCTCGACAGTTTTTTCCTGGCACTGAGGGAGGGACGACTATACAGTACATGTTCAGGATATCTGTGGACTCGTTTTCACAGCAAAGAAAAGGAGAGAAATCCAACCATAAAGTGGAATCTTGTGTGTGTGTGTATAATCTCTGTCCTTTTAATTGTGGACCGTGTGAGATGCTGGGGTGACGCCTTTACAAATGACAGCTGGGTGGCTGCTTTGGGACTTGGTGTAAAGGAGGTTTTCAAAAGTCACCCACCAAAAAAGTGGAATAAAAGAGTCAGCCACAGGTTCTTCCCTTCAGCTCTCCTCAAACTGTAAAAACACTGACTCCATGTCAGTCAGTACCTCCTCCTTCCATGTTTCCCGCCATCAGTCATGCAGGTTTTAGGCCGTAGAGCTGAATTGAGTGAGAACAGAACAGAAGAGTTAACAAAGACATTTTAAAACAGACGAATCCATCCATGTTAAAGTGCTCCAATCGCTTCTCTGATTCACCTGGGTCTGCCGTCTGCTTCTTCTTATTGTGATGAACTATCTGGTTCTCATTGGTCATCTTCACATCCTGATCCTCCACATAATTACTACAAGGCAACACAAGAAAAGGAAGACACAGCGGATGTTTTTCTTTAAAACTGTAGTGCCAGCGAGAAGCGGAAAAGGGCAATAAAACACAAAAGGGAGGGTTGACAAAGCTCGAAGTCAGGGAGAGGAGGGACTCTGGGGATCACAAGTCAAGCGAGTGGCAAGGAGGATGTGGGATGTTTGAGGGCACTGGAGGAATCTTCAGTACAGGGAGTGACCACAAGGAGGCAGCAGCACTGGGTTTTTACTATCCTGTTACTCACTGTTGACGGTGTCTGCTGACACGGGGGCTGAAGTGGAGAAGAGTACAAGTCTTTTCAAAACTACTGAGTTAATCTAACACAATTTGTCTGTAAATCTGTTTGATTGTCAGAAATGCAACAGGCCTGTCAAAAAGCATTTTACATGACAGATCACGGATGTCATTTCAGTTCATGGGCCACATGCAGCTCAATCTGACTTCTAGAGGGTCGTACACCAAAAGCAAAGCAGCATTCAAAATACACTTAAAATGTCCTCTCATACATTTTATCCAGTTACAAAAAAGATGATGAGCAGTGTAAGATGTCTTTAAGAAGACTGTGGAATTATAAATCTCAGTAGGAGCATGGCTCCTTGGATTAACCGTCACACTTCAGTGTAGTATGGGATGACAAAGGTAATTTGTAGGATTCTGGAAAAACACTTTTATGTTACCCATTCTTAACATCCTGCAACACAACCTCCTCTGCAAATTTCACACTCTGCAAGGCGTCCAGTCGGCTGGCAGCCGAGTGCATGTCTGATACCCCTTTTCTAAATAAGGCAAACCTAAATAACAATCAGCATTTAGCCTGTAAGCAAGCAGCCGTTCATGAATTCATCTTTCCAAAAAAAAAAAAAAAAGATAAATGAATACAAAAAGCCTGAGTACCTGATGACAGTGTTCCTCTCTCTGTGAGTAATGTAGACGTCATCTGTGAACAGGATGGTGTGGTAGGGCACCACAGGGTCGCAAGTAGGCAGGATGCCTCGTGTCACTTGGCTTACGCAGTCCAAGATGCCATTATATACCAGGAGGTCATCCACCAGCAGCTGGACTCACGGAGAAACATGCACCATTAGTAAACAAACAGAAGCGATTGCTAAACCCGCAGCAGAGAGAGAAGTAGGCTTACCCCAAATTCTTTCACTCCTCTCTGAGGCGTCTTTGAGTAGTTCCACAGCTTGATCATGGACACAGTCACTGGATGATCAAAGATGACATACACACGGTTCACCTGCATGGAAACAGAGCATACACTCGTGTCAGCTGCAAACAGTCTCTCTCTTACACACTCACACACACACTGTCTTTCTCACCAGGCCAGGAAGCACTGGGGCTAACCACATGTGTCTTCCATCGTGGGTGCAGTTGACTCCATCTATTAATTTATCTGGAGTCCTCACATCACCGCTCACATTGTCCAGCACATTCACACTGTCTGGAAAAGCAGCAATGTCTGGTAGACGTAATGTTGAGGTCTGATCATGTTTATTAATATAAACACAGCTGCTAATTACCCACAACTTTACTCAGAGTTTCATGAGAACAGAGTTTTACAGTAGTCAAACTCTTTCAGAGAAATATTATGTAAACCCAAATCAAATAAACTAGACTACTTTTTTTATTTGAACCCCTTGAATACACTAATAAAATGCACAAGTATAATTCACACTAAATATTATTTCAATTTGATTGTCACAGTTACCTATAAGAGTAAACAACTGTTCCAAATCCTTATGTTCTTAGAGTAGGATGTAATGCTTGATCTTTTAAGAAGAAAACATTAACAGCTAGTGACTTAATATCTATCAATCTAAAGTGACCGATTTACAGTTGTTGTCAGAAGTTTCATCTAATCAACATAGGCATGAATGTCATGCTGCTTTTCCGGGGTGGAATGATTATACAGCATTTAATAAATCTTTTAAAAAGATCTGGGTGAACAAATTTGATTTTGTTTTGGATTTTCTCCACTTCACACAGTGTCTTTTGGTAGCCATAAACAAGCCGCACAGGTATTTGTTAGAGTTCATTAGAGTGACTTGTAAGAATTTTAAGTGAAGTCCACAGATTTTCAATAGCACTAAGGTTGGGGCTAGAAAAGGTCTTTGGATCTTTTGGGATCCTTGCCCTGTAGGAAAACCCACCTATGTCTCAGTTTCAACCATTTAGTGATTGATACTCCTTCATTATTCCATCCACTTTGTACAGTGTATCAGTACCACCGGCAGCAAAACAGCCGCAAGGTATGATGCTACCACCACCATGCCTGACAGCTGGTACAGTGTTCTTAGGTTAGATAATCTCACTTTTACCTCTCCAAACATACCTGCACTCTTGTCATTGTTACCTAATAGCTCAATCTTTGCCTTGCCTGGACATAAAACTTTTCTCTAGAATGCATTTGGGTAGTCCATGTGGGAAAATGCTAATTTCACTCAAGCTTGAAGGTGTCAATTTCCGAGTAGGGCCTTCTTTCTTGGTTGGCACCCTCTCAGTAAGGCTCACTTCACTTGACAGTGACACTGGTGTGTCAGCAGGTTCCAGCTCATGGCAGGCTTGGCCCTTCATGGTTCCTGAACATCCTAACCAATTTACTCCCATATGAGGGTGAAAGTTTGGATCTTCTTCCAAAACTTGTCAAAGTGGTGAGACATCTGAATAATTTGTACATATGTACAATTGTTTGAATCAACGGTCCTGGAATCTGCAGTTGTTTAGAAATGGCTCCAAGAGACCTTCCCAGCTTTTGTAAATCTACAGTTCTCCTTGTTGGATCTTCACTGAGTTCCTTGGATTTTCTCATTATTCTGAGTATCGGTCAGTCCACTGAGAGTTGTCAGACATATTGTTTTTTTGTTAGCAAAGAGAAACTACCAGTTGTAGTTAATCATGATCACAATGAGAAGTTAACAGTTCTTGGCCTTGTCAAGTTAAAAGACATTGAAGAACCTTAATTAAAAGACAAAAGCGATGTATGTA